CTCGATTAGTTGCTCGCTGTCTACATAATATGAAGTTGTGGACAAAAAACCTGTACACATTAGGCTTTTTTACTCGAAAAAAAAAACAATTTTATCACTGCATTGTGAAGGATGTTGCAAAATTGGAGGAAAAGGCGTAAATTCCTACCTTGCGCTTCTCTTCCAATCGATCAGAGGCCCTTGAAAAATATAATTCTCGCTGATTAATCTGCTGGTCAGGCCTTGTGATAAGGTGAAAAAGCTTTATATGCCACCAACTATGCCTGACCGTCCAGCTTTCCGCTACAGCGGGTCAGTAGACACACTACTTCTGAGCCGAAGAAGTAGTTGGCTTGTCTGCATTTGTATTGGACTGCACTCGATCTACACGAACTCGGCGTTTCCACCTTTCCTGCCGAAAAACAGCCGTGTTGGGTCGAGCTGTACCAAAGAGACCAACGACAGTTGCTATCCCGGCTATTGCAGCTCAGCGCCGGGTAGTCTGGCCTCGTTCACCTGCATTTGTCCGCCTCATATGGCCACTAGTCTGTTGGAGCTACGGGAAAAGGAGAACAGGATCGTCTCGTCCTGCCGAGCTCTGCCAGACGACGGCTGCTCCAAGTGTCATCCACGTCACACCAGTCGGTGCTACGCAACGCGGAATCGCACGGTCGCCTGCAAATGCCTGCCCGAGTACAGTGAGCAGACCAACTGCCATGACGAGAGTGACCGTTGTCTGCACGCATCGTCGTTCAGCTCTCTGGCCGGAAACCAGGCCTGCAGAGTGGAGCTCGGCAATCGGTGCAGAAATGTGGTCGGAGCGGACAGCTACTATTGCATCTGTATCTATCCCTACAAGCGCCGGAATGGCCTCGCCTTCCCGAACTGTTTCAGCGAAGTGTCGCCGAGTTGTGACAGCAAACTGTGCCTCGGATACAAAGTGGAGTCGTCGGCGCAGATCGCAGGTCTCTTTAAAATAGCCTAAAATGTTAGATCGGAAAGCTCTTGCGATAGCACCAGCATAGACTATGATGGTGAATAGGCATGGCGGTTTCACTTTGCCGGGCAAATAGAAGGTCCGGAAGGTAAAGAAACTGTGGAGAGCAGCCACGAGACGCCCATCCGACGATACCTCAAAAGGTCGGCCTCGGCTTGACGGTGTGAAGAGTTTTAGGCAATCGCGAATGGAGGCTACATCAGAGCTTGTGGGCTTTCTCGTAAGTTATGATAGCTCAGTTAACCCAATCAACCACTTACCCGTGCACCCATGGCTCGAATCCCGCTGGAGATGGAGAGGCGTTGATGCGACGAAGTGGCACTGCCTTCCGGCTCGGATGAGCATTGTCATTTGAGGTGAGAGAAACAGCGAATTTCAGTACAAAATCAAGCCTCGTCTTGGATTTCTTATAGCCGGAATCACTACTCAACTCTGTAGCCCCATACAAAACAGGGACATATTAACAAATTATGTAACAACTTATTTTTCGTTTATGAGTAGGATTTCGAGACAACTCAGTCTGCCTAAGTTTCATACACTGTGATATGAGTAGGCTTCACACTCCAACTGTTGCATGAATAGCATATGGCCAGGGTCGAGAAGATACCGATGAGCAAGGACTTGATCCAGCCCGTCGCTTAACTTGATCGGATGTTGGACACTTAAAGTTTGCACTATAAAATATTCAGACCTCAGGAGGCCATTAAGATCCACTTAGCTTTGCACAACAATAGAACATCTCCTGTAGTTTCGTCCCGACCCAGGTCTCATCAGCACCGTCAAAGGAATTCGAAATCGGGTCGTTTTGAATCTCGATGGGATGGTGATGAGAATTAGGTGAGTTCGAAACGCCACTTCGCGGTTGCATGGGGTTCATTGGATTTGCGAGGTTGAGCTCACCATAAAACAGTGGTTGCTACCTGTTGCTCTTTCTTCATAGTCTAATCAAACGATTATCAACCCTAATCTCTTGGTGAATCTCTTCAAGCAATCTAAATGAAAGCCTTCGCATGATCTCGATATATTCTATAGTTGTTGTGAGTTTAAGAACAACTAATTGTAGGCTTGTTCCTATCCCACTTTTCAGAAAAATAAGTTAATGATTTTTTACGAGTTGTTTGACCTTGTTTTCGCAACTTGGTAATATTGGTATGAAGACGTAGAGGAACGCGCCTAGTCCGGAGTCCATTGTATGCATTATCATTTCCACAGTCGGACCGTGGATCTGGTACATTCCCAGACGTCTTGCCGGCATCGTCAGGGAGTCTTGCCATTCTTGACACCACACAACTTGTCTAAGAGACAAGTGAAGTCGATCCTTTGACCAAATTTGTGCTAAAAAGTTGTGGTTCAACATTGAACCTAATCAAAGCAAGCAGTACCACAATATTTGCTGGTTGGCACACAAGAGACTAGGGCACAGGACGTTATAGACTTGGTATTATGAATAGAAACAGGATAGACGCGGAAGAGACTAGAGCTAGTTGACTGACAGTAGGTCTGTTTTCCCATTGACATGGTCCATATAACACAGCCTCTACCATGAGACTTACTCTGAGGCCTTTGACTCGAATTAATCACCCAGACGCAGGAGAGAGCGAATACCGCCTCGAGTAGCACAGATGGGGGGGCAGGGGTCGAGTGAAATATATGAACCAGAGAGAGAGCAATGGGATCTTACGGGAGACTGTGATAAGACCTAGGGAAAGAGGACTAGGTAAAAATATGGCAGACTCTGATCAACATTCCCAGCACAAGTGTGAAGGGGGTGAGAA